TGCATTTTATTATATTTTTAATTTTATTATATTGTATTATAAGCATAAAATAATAATTTATATTATAATATAGTATATATGTATGTATATATACATATCTATATATATATATATATATATACGTCCTAGTCCATATTTATCTTCTGATACTAATCCAAATCACCCCATCCTCACACTCTCTCTCATATACAAAGGGCCATGATCAACCCCTTCGTGACCAAAATGTCGACCAATATGGATAGTGAAGGTGAGATTAAACAGACTGACATCATAGCCGCTGCTGATGCTACAGGAGACATCAAGTCATCTAAGCGAAGGAGGGCGTCCAGTGCGGGCCTGGCGAGTCTACGCTTCAATTCATCGGGAGATGTATGTGCGTGTGCATGTACGTATGAGTGTTTGTGTCTCTCTGTTTCTGTCCCTGTCTCTGTATATGTCTATGCCTGTGCCTGTACTCTCCCTATGTGCTCTCTGGCATCTGCAGTCAGGCTATGCATGTACTATAGGTACCTCCACATCCAGCTCAGGTCATCGCCAAATAATGATACTCTAAAACCCTAAACCCAACATCTCCCATGGTCTATGGCCCATCCCATCCGCCGCCCCACACAAACATTGTAGCATAGTGTGCTCCATAGTTCAGCTCTCACGGCAACCTATCTACTCTGCCTACCTACGCTAACACCTACCCTACCTACACACACAATCCATTGTGCTGTTGTTGTTATCCAAACCCGGAATCCCTAAAACTCCACGCTATTATTCGAGCTGGACGGCATGGCTGATGGGGAATGCTCATGCAATGCACCCAAATCTATCCAACTACTTGTACAGACATATACCTACTTACAGCATACTTATACCTACCATACGCTTTCTCAACCACGGTCACTCAATCACAAACCATGCCAAGCACGCATACAACTTATCCAAATCCAGTGTTTTGCACATACATATACCTACCTACAGATCACTCATCCCACCCTCCTTCACAAACTCACCTACTTACCTACCTACCTACCTACCTACCTACCTACCTACAGGTGGAGTTGGGAGACCTGGTAGACCGGGAATCATCGGAGAACACCGCCAACACCAGCAACAGCAAACGCAACACCTTACAGAGCAGCCACGGCACACATGGGGTGGAGGCCACTGAGCCCAGACGAGTGGGCAATGTGTACAGCGTGCCTATAGCCACCAGCGAGTTCACCCCACAGGACCTTATGGCGGAGGTGCAGCGGGTGCTGACGGTGCTCAACATATACTTTGTGACGGTATGGTGGTGTGTGCGTGTGTGGGTAGGTGTATGTGTATCGTATAGGTCTATGTATGTGTCGATGTCTGTGTCTATGTCTATCTACGGATGCGTTACAGACATGAATGAATGGGTGATTGTATCCGCCGTTCGCCACAGCAACCACGTGCACGCGTGTGCTGTTACCATTGCTTGTCTGAATTATGTACCACCATTCAGCCCCTGTACCTCTGGGCCTCATCCTGCATGTCTTCACTCGCGCCATAGTCAGGCTAGTAACTGCCCCGGCCACTGTAGTACCACTCCTCCGTACTCTTGCTATCCGTATCCAGGCCTGTATATGTATGTATGCTGGACATATGTACATAGGCTAATACCTACTTGATCGGTAGTTATAGACTCTCAACCTACACAGACCCATCCCCACCTAATCGCAATGGCCTGTACATACAACTCGTGCTTTCTTTAACAAACAGTTCATCATGCTTTATTTGATCATAGTTAATTACATATACAAACTATTCTTATCTAATTTTATATATATATATGTTTACTACTTTCCTGCACAGACCGATACCTACCTAATCGCCTGCACATACGACACGAGTGCGGAGAAGGTGGTGATTGAGATTGAGATCGTCAAAGTTTGGCTTGTGAACAAGCTGGGTGTACAACTCAAGCGCAAATCAGGAAGCCTATGGCTGTATAAGGAAATTTATTCAAAAATTATTAGTGCTATGCAGATCCCTAATTAGGACAGAGCGAACTTAATTCTTATAATCGGGATTTGGTCCGGCTTGTGCACGTGCAAGTCGCAGGGCTGTAACTCCACACACAATTTAAGTGCACACAGTTCCTGTGCTCAGTGGCGTGTGAAGATCAAATAAAGTGAACACAGAATTTAAATTACGAATGTTTTGGGGTGCGGCGACAAATGTAGATTCATTAGCGGTCACGAGCCCATGTGCTTAAGCAATCTTGGAACCTGTGCCAATAGGTATGTACAGCTACACATTCGATCATCAACATGTTTGTATTGAAATATGTATAAAACTTTGGCTTCCTTTGTGGAAGCATGTCAATACACCTGATGGAAATCTCAATCGCATAGATATATATATACATATATATATGTATATATATTTGTATTTGTATCTGTATATTTCTGTCTGTATATGTATATATATATATTATATATATATATATATATATATATATGTATGTATGTATATATAT